GAAAACCGTTGGGCCAACAAGGAAGGATTGGAGTGTACGTTTGGAGGTTGCATTGTGGGCATATCGCATTGCATATAATGTCCCCATTTCGGCTCATTTATGGCAAACCATGCCATCTTCCCGTAGAATTGGAGCACAAGGCGTATTGGGCTGTCAAAACATTCAACATGGACCTTGATGCCGCTGGAATTCATAGGAAGCTCCAATTGAATGAACTTGAAGAGATTAGGCATGAGGCTTATGAAAACGCTCGAATTTACAAGGAGAAGACAAAGGCTTTCCATGATAAGATGATTCGAGGCAAATCATTCTCCATTGGGCAGAAAGTGCTACTCTTTAATTCCCGCCTTCGCTTGTTTCCTGGTAAGTTACGTTCTAAGTGGGTTGGCCCACTTGTTATTACTAATGTCTTTCCTTATGGTGCAGTTTAAGTTCAAAGCTTGAAAACAAGACAAGAATTCAAAGTGAATGGCCATTGGTTAAAGCTCTACTATGAGAATTTCGAGGAACATGTTATGGATGATGTACCCTTCCATGCCGTGGGTACTAGTGAAGCTTAACATGGCATATTCGTCCGGCTGGAAGACGTTAAAGCAAGCGCTCCTTGGGAGGCAACCCATGCATTCAACAAGGAGAAGATGGAACTTCCACTCCAAACCCAGATTTGCGTTTCTAAACCCTTCTCTTTGCTGCTTTATTTTATGCTTAGTTGTTTGTTGTTTGTTTGCTTTTGTATGAGTCTTCGTGTGAAACATTGAGGACAATGTTTGATTTAAGTGTGGGGGGGGGGGGGGGGGGTAAGCAACTGTTTTTATGCAAATTCGTGGGATTCTATCACCTATCACTTCTAATGTGGTTTCTCACTGTTTTTAAGTGTTTTTAGTGCATTTTGAGTTGTTTTGGTGTGTTTTGAAGTAAAAATCCGAAAAATTGAAAAAAATTGAAAAAAGTGTTTTGAAAAAGCCAAAAAGAGTTTTTTTTTTTGTGTGTTTTTTTGTGTCTTAGGGTACCTTCCAACACAATGATGAGGATTTGGTTTTTAATGCATGATTGTTAAAGAGAGTTACAAACATGGATGGAAGTTTGATATGCTCTTTGGTTTATGCATGGTTGTAGTTATAGTTTACGAATTCACATGTAATCATAAAGGATAAAATCAGTTTTTATAACATGCTTGAAGGAAGGAACCCAAACAAACGCTACATCCTTGAAAGACTTGAGCCTAAATGTTTATTTGGAGATTTATTAATCTGTGCATTCTTGTTTTCTAAAGTCGTTGCATGATCTCATTATTCTTTGCTAGGTTGCTACTTAGAATGTGTTTCATCATTATAGATCCAAATACTAGAACTTATGCCCGTTCTATTCAAAGCATGACATTGATTTGCATAACACATATTCAAGATGAAGTTGTTTAGTAGTCACCACAATAGCCAAATAGCCGAATCCATCCTAGTCATTTGTTCTATAGGTTTAAACCCCGTTGAACCTTGTTTAGCCTATTTTCTTTGTTAACCACATCAGCCTTACCTAGCCTAGAATAGGACTTTTCCATACACTTGTTCTTGAAGTATAGTGGAGCATGACTTAGAAGGAATTACTTTTGAGTGACATTATTGCAGAAAACAAGTGTGGGGGAAGGGATTTTTGTGTGTGTGTGTGCCAAGAAGAGTCATGGATAGAAAAAGAAAAAGAAAAAAAATATCTATAGAAAAGAAAGAAAAAGAGTTGCAAATACGTGAGAATGAACTCACATGTATTGATTGTTGAAGAAAGGGTCCAAAAGTTTGAATCTGACCCTAGGTGTTGCATGAATCTTCCCTTGTGTTTAAAAGGTAGTTTTCTGCATTCTAAAGTGAATTCTAAGTGCCTAATTCATTACTTTGCTCACTATTGCTTTAAGAACGTTTGTTCCTCTTACCTTTCTTTGTTAGCCAATACCCTTAACACCGTTACAACCCTTAGACTTCTATCTTGGGTGTTATGTGTTTCAATCTGTGGAGTTTGGGCTTGGTATGAGCATATGGTATCCCTGGTTCTCGTATCTAAGTAGTGGCTTTCCATTCATGAGATCATATATATATACATGCATTAATAATTCCAGAAAGTGCTTCCTTCATTTAAAACATATGTAAGTGGCTCGTCTACATGTTTACATCAATCTTTTCACATATACCTAGTGTAGGGAGTGTAGTCAGAAAATCTGAGTGAAAATAAAGAGTACATCCGGTGAGGAATTGAGGGAATTCTCTAAGGCATGTTACTACATTCAAAATGTTGTTTTAATTGATTCAATGTGAGCTAGTGAATGGTGACTATGATTAAGTATGCTCGAGGGTAAGGATTGCTTAAATCTATGTGAGTGGTGATCTTTGACATGTTATGTTTCATTGGAAATCCCTGAGGCAAACGTTGGAAGGTTTAGATTGTATGTTTTGTTTCTTTTGTTTGTTGGTTTTGCTCAAGGACTAGCAAAAGCTAAGTGTGGGGGAATCTGATAGGAGCAGATTTATGCGACTTAGTTACCTTGTTCTTGTGCATTTGTGTTGTTATTTCTTAGTTAATGTAGTATTTCAAGCTATTTTCATGTGTTTGTAGGTCCAAAGGGTTAAAGTAGCAAGAAAGTGCATTTTGGAGCAGTTTGGGCACTAAATGGATAACACATGTATAGGCCAAGATGATGGACGAATTTGGAGTTCAAAAGGCTAGGAATCTGATAAGAAGATGAAGAAATTAAATTCAAGACAATGAAGATAAGGAATCAGCTCAAAAGATGGAAATATTATCCAAAACCTTATCCAATCTTATCTTATCCTATCCTAATCTTATCATGCCTTAATCTTAGCTGCAAGGGGACCTAAATATATATTTCTAGAACCTATTTCTAGAAGCATTCTCTTCTAGAAGTCCCAAATCAGCCACAAAACACATTGTTTCTAGAAACCCTACAAAGGTGGCGCCTATTCCCTTCTAGAAAGCCTTACCTTGCCATGCAATCCACTCTCTTTTCCCTTCAATATCTGCCGCACCCCTCTATCCTTTTTCTCGTGTGGATTCTAATTTATTAGCCTTATTCCTTGTGGATTTGGGTTATACAAATCCTTTTCTGAAATTAATTGGGCCAAACCTTCTCCTTAGTGGATTTAATTAATTGTGCCGAACCCTAGGGCCCTAATCCTTAAAATATGCTAAATTGTAATCCTAATTTGATTAACCCTAGGGTTGGCTGAACCTATATATACATATTTTCAGCCACACTTTCAGGGGGAACCCTCATGCCATTCAGAAAGACCTTTGCCGCAATCCTAGACACCATTCATTCAATCCATTCACTTCCATATACAACCTACTGCAACTTTTCACCCTCATCAGCCATCATTCATCATCTTAGGCAAGAATACATCATTCATCGCCCCCAGAACCACCAACCACACCTTGTGCCACAAAAAGGAAGAAGGAGGAGAGCCCTTAGACGTGCTTGCCATTCGAATTGGAGTTGCTGGAACGTCTTAGGTGTAATCTTTCTTGTGCTTTCAATATTTAAATTCAATAATCTTTGTTTTGTGAGTATGAGGAACTAATCCCCTCTTAGCTAGGGGAAATTTTGAAACCATGGCTATATTTGCAATATAATTTGATTACTTCCAGTTATGATTTCATGAATTGTGAATTCAATTTACTTATCTGTTTGAATTAAAACTTGTTTGTGCATGTGGGTTGAGAGTGCACATTTAATTTGCATGTATAAATCTGATGCTAGGATATAAGGGAGTTTCACTTAATCGTTGTGAACTTATATTCATAAGTAGTAAAGGTTGTTAGTCACAATCATGTTAAGTAAATTCCTGGCATAAGTATCATGCGCTTTCATAATTACGAACGCCTTGTCAACACTTATGATTTTCATAGAATTTAATGATCTTTGATTGTTTCTCTATTATGCTCTTTCATGTAGGGAACTTTTGAGGAATAATTTGATGGCGATGCGCTAATTCCATTCAATTCAATGACTTAAGGAAAATCTGAGGGTTAATTTAAGCATACCTAATTAAATTGGGGTGTTGAGGTTCATGGTTCATTGAAAAAGCAACTGGAGATTGTTTTGTATGCAAGTATGTCATGTGTGGAGAAAGACCTCCTAGCTAGCCCATCATCCATCTATTTCCACCAAATTCGTGCAAATCTGCCTAGTTTTAGTTCTTGTTTTGTTTACTTTATTTTCGTCCAAAACCAAATCCCCTTTTATTTTAGAGTGTCTAACTAGTTAGGATCTATTTTAGATTGTGTTTTCAAGTGTTTTGAGTCAAGTTAAAACTAAAATTCATCCAAAATTGTGTTTAGAGTCAGAATCTACCTCGTTTGTGTTTTTAGGCAGTTTTGAGTGTTTTTAGCTTATTTTGAGTCTTGTGAACTTGTTTGAGTCTTTTAAGTTTAGTTAAATGCTTTAAAGCTTAGTTTTATCTATTTGAGTTAGTTTAAAGTGTTTTAGCAAACCCTCCTAATCCCCAATTTAAGAACGATCCCTACTTACATATATACTACAATTGTCAAAAGATGGTTTAATTTGTGTGTTAAGTTAATTTTCGCATCACTGTACGTCCCATTGGGTCTTCAGATAGACAATATATGTTAGTAATTAAAAATTATTTTTTTGACACAAATGTTCAAAATTGTGTCTAATAAATATTAATAAATAATAAATCACTCTATAGCAAAAGAATATGTTGGCACAATTGTGGATTTGTGCCTTTCTTCCTTGGTGGCTTTAATGTCAGCAATGAAATTTTTTTATTAATTTGCAATGACATTGTAATTGTAATTATGTCCTACAATTTAATATATTTAAAGTAAAGGAAGATTTTTTGTGCCCTTTTTTTAAAATAATGTTTTAAACAAAACACTTCCCTCAATCTTCACGTCTCACTCTCTCCTTATTTCCTTCATTCTGCATCTCTGTGTTTCCTTATTCAAACCCAGCCTCTCCACAATTCCTTCGCATTTCCTCTCCCTTTCCCAATCGAACCGAGCCTCTCTCTCTATATTTTCCCCAAATTTTGCTATTTCCCTTTCTCTCTGTCTTTCTCGCCTCTCATCTCAATTCTCAAGTCATGCAGAAACAAAATTTGCAAATCCTTCCCCTTCAAATTTCACACACACTGCGAATAGGTGGGTCTCAACTCAAGTCTTTAGTCGAGTTTACACATTCTCGTAGACTCTGGAAATCATTCTCCTTCACACACAATCTGCAAATCATTCAGCCTCAATGCTTATCTCATCCCCAGTTTCCCTTCAGTTTAGTGCTTGCATAATGTGATTCCTTCCTTTCCACTTCGTTCCAGGTAAAATGGTAGCAATTTAGAATTTGTATTGGTTAATTTTAGGGTTAGGGTTTATTTGAAACACAAGGGAAGCTTTTTTCTCTTTTGGGTTATAATCAAAAGGGGATTTGATCTGGTTCAGATTCGAATGGAAAGTGACCTACTGTCACTTCGAATAGGTTTAGATTGGAAGGTGATTGGCTATTTTTATGAATTAACAAATATTGAGTTGTATATCTACTAATTAATTTATTAGCCAATGGTATATTTGGCTTTGAAAAGCTGTCATTCAGTCTGAAGCTTCTATATGCGACATGGTTTTTCGTATTTTTTTACTATGCACTTGAGGGTTTATTGTTTTTTTATGTTACTTGGTTGATATAGGCAACACGGATGAGTACTGGAAGAGGCAAGATGCAACACAAGTTATGGCTCTAGTTAAGTAGACAACTACCGATTTCAATCATTTGAGCAAGTCATTGATACGTCCTACTGTTGGTTTTTTTTTAATAAATACTTTTCCTCTCTTTGTAATATTTTTGGTTTACCTTAAGCTTATGAAGTTTAACAGAACAAACAACTCATGAGAATAAATTGGTCGTAATTTCTGGGCTTGCAGTTAGTTTGGGAAGGACTTGGGCTTGGTGAGGGAGCTGCTGTTGGAAACTGGAACTTTAACCAAACTTTGATGCTTCTCTAACTTCATTTTCTATATTATTGGTGCTCTAGGGAGAAGGATAAGAATAAAGTTCTTTTTAGATTAGGCGGTGGACATTATGCTCCTCGGCATATGGATATTGTTTTGTACGTTATAGTCACTTTACAGTTCATCCATTTTCTTTCAAATATATATCATTGTTTTCTTAGTGGCAATGTAGCATGGCATCCAGCTTTATTCTTTGTTTTCTTCTGTGTGCGGTTTGATGCATAACTTATTAACTGTGAACTGAACCTTGTCATTTTAATTGATCGTGTCAAAGTAAATATGGTAAATAAGTCTGCTATAAACAAATGGGATTACCAAACTATAGATGATACTTTCTTTATCCTGTTTGGAACTTCTGGCTTGATCTGCTTCCTCCTTCCTTTTCTCTGTCTCTGCAGCTTATGCAACATCCATAAGTCCTACATTACCCTCCCAGCCCCTTGTTGCTTCCTCTTCCATCTCTATTAAATGAATTGGCACTGGTAGTACTTTGATATGTTGTTGTCAAATTGCTCTGGTACTGGAAATGGCAAATGATTTATTTGTTCAAGTCTCTTCCAAATTTTCTCCTAATCTTCCCTTTATAGTTAATTTTATTTCCAACTGGCTTTTGTATGCTCTCGTCAAATTGCTTGATATGATGCTGTTAATTTCCAACTAGCTTCCAGCTTTGGCAAACCGTATGTAAGCTGTAAGAAAGCTAGTATTTAGCAACTGTTAAGAATCCAGCTACAATTCATTGTTGTAACTTATGAAATTCCTATTACCTTACTCTTGCTAAGAGTGTTGATATCAGATCTATTCATTTGTTTCCTTAATTTGAGTTTTATTTTTCATGGGTTAAACAAATAATTATGAGAATTGAAATTTGAATTTTTAAGTAAAGTACTTATTTCGCGTGTTTGTGGTGTTATAGGAAGCAAGGTCCAAGATAAATTTGGAGAACTTTGAAAGGAAGATGGGTTAAGCGTTTATGGTTTTTGTAATTCCAAATTCCAAATTTGTTTTCTTCTATTTCTGAATATGTAGTTTTAACATTTTTGAGGGTACAATGCATGTTAATTCTAAGAAAAGGAGATTTGAATCTGTAAAGTGCATGTCTCTAACTGCTCCGCTCTCTCAGTGTAAGTACATCTCTGCATATCTTTATTTCCTCAATTGTATTTGACTTTGTTATGTTGAGTTCCCAAATTAAAGATCTTATACTATCTTTTTGTAGCTTTCTAAAGTTTGGAATTTTCTTGATATGTGCTTACATGGTGCTTAACATGGTTTGTGCTTACTTTCCGTTTCATGGTTATAGGCTATTTTCATTTTATGAAAATTTAAATTTTTGCATTTCCTCAAATTCAGTTTCAGTTTTTTTTAATTTTGATTTTTTTTATATTTAATTCTTGTTGGCATTATAATATTAGTGTCAATATAGCTGGAAAATGCCTTTTGATAAAGTTGTCAAAATCCGGCACAAATAGTGGACTATTTGTGCCTGCCTCTTTGAGCACCAAATAGTGTATTGTGCCCTTTTAGCAATGGTGGCGTCCATAGAGGTCATATATACAAATTTAGTTGTGGTACTGTTGCTATTGGTCTATGAGCACAATTGTTGGTGCTTTTTGGCCTCAAAGAGACATATAATTTATTGTGCGCAATGATCATTTTTGTTGTAGTGTTTGAATAAGATCCGAATCCGATAATTCAATTATATAAATAGATCTAAATATCCATCAAGGATGATCCAATCTGATAATAATTCAATCCGATTAAATATAACTTATTATTAATTTTTATCTTTTTGTATACTTTTGTGTAATGGTCGTTTAGGTTTTTTCAATAAACACACTCATATCCTATCTTTTATTATTCAATGTGAAAATTTTAATTAAAAAAATATATACAATAAAAGAGTGAAGTTAATAATGATGTTTAATCTTTTTTAGGTTTTAAATTAAATTCGATAAGGTTCCAAATCGATCCGAATTCAATGCTAATCAATATGGATCGACAAGTCAGATCCGATTTTTTAAATAAGTATCGAATTCGTTAATTTAATTATGGGTCAAGGTTTATCCAATCTGAATTTGATCCGTTTACATGTCTATATCCAACTGGTCAAACTTTACGTATTTTATACATGTTTGATTTATTCCCACTATATTATGGAAAATGATCCTTGCCAGATCATTTTGTTCAAGATTCTGGGAATCCTGTAATCGTAACCGTTCAGCGTACATTGTGCGGTCAGTTTTCGTTAGATACTATTTATATTTAATTTTAAATTTTACTTTTCAAATCATTTCTAATCACACAATGTACGATTAACAGTCACGATCACGAGATTCCAAGATTCCCAAGAAAAGAATCCGGCCCTATATTATAACTGAGATTGTGGGAATCTGGTTCCATCCACGCCACATCCCAATTCAACCAATATGAGAAAACCCACAAACGGACCAGATTCATTGCACCAATCTATAAGTCTCCATTTTCTAAAAGTCCACAAATCCTCTCTCACCGTCCAAATTCGGAAGGATTATTTTTGTTTATGATGTATATTTATCATCTCTTTATCATCATTAAATGCATTACATCCCGGCTCGGATTTCCATTACATTCTGAACTTGATTCTACCGTAGCATGATATTGTCTGTTTTGGACCTCTACCATATCTTCACGGTTTTGTTTATGGAAACTCAAACGAGAACTTCCTAGTGGATCAGCTAGCTTGGGATTGCTCTCACACGAACTTGCTTAACTTCGGAGTTCCAATAGAATCCCAAACCAGTGAACTCCCAAAAGGCTTTGTGCTAGGTAGAGATGAGAATATACATATAAAACTTACGGAATCCACTCCCCTGCACGACGTGGGATCTTACAAAATGAGCTTGAATTTTGAAATTCGTATAGTAAATAATCACAAATTTCAAAATTTAAACACATTTAAAATATAGTAAGCATTACTACCATTTGATAGTGGGCAAAAAGGCACTCAAATTCCAACGTTATTATTCACACCGCTTTTCAAACCTCTTCAGTCACACTTTCTTATTAAACCCAAGGTTTTAAAAAAAGTTAAGCTCTAGTCGGGCTGCGGGTTGGAGCCTAGTACCTAGGCGGATTATGCGAATTTAAGTAAATCTATCATATTTCGTGTAAATAAGTATCTACTTATACATAAAATATATTTCATCATAAACTACAAAGTAAAATGCATATATATTATGAAGTATTGGAACATAATGAAAACATGTGAAATAAGGATATAATGTGTATTTATTTAAGTATACAAAAAGTCTTTTATAATTTATTAAAAAAAAGTAAAATGTAAAATGAAAACTATTTAATTTCTATTTAAATGAATTGAACTTAGACTTGTGCCTAAAAGGATCTGAACGGGCTAAGCACATGTCTAAATGTTCTAGGCAGACGCTCAGCAAGTCTGCGCTCTTTCTTACTTTTCAAACTTTAATCAGAACGGTGGCAGGATTTTTAGAATATTGATTAAAACCTACAAAAAAAACTCTCCACCCACCTCCGTCACCGCTGCCGATGCATCATGGCCTTCTCCGAGTTCCGGCCGCTGGACGAGAAGGTCCTCATAGAGTACATAAAAGCCACGCCTTCTCTCGCTTCTAAGCTCGGCAACAAGTTCGACAACTTAACCATCAATGAAGTTGGCGATGGCAATCTCAACTTCGTCTTCATCGTCGTTGGTTCTGCTGGTTCTTTCGTCATCAAGCAGGTACATAATTTTTCACCATATGGGTAGTAATGGGTTCTGGATATTTGATCAAATTGTATTGGATTCGAAGCAGCTGATGATTTTTCAACACATATGTCGTCTGATGAAATACGTTGATTGGTTTTGCAGGCTCTTCCATATATCCGTTGTATTGGGGAGTCATGGCCAATGACAAAGGAAAGAGCATATTTTGAGGCATTGGCGCTTAAAGAGCATGGAAGTTTGAGTCCTGATCATGTTCCTGAAGTGTATCATTTCGATCAGACCATGTCTTTGATCAGCATGCGCTATTTGGAGCCCCCGCATATCATACTGAGAAAAGGGTTGATTGCTGGAGTTGAGTACCCCTTGCTGGCTGACCACATGTCCGACTATATTGCAAAGACTCTGTTCTTTACATCCCTCCTGTATCACAATACCACAGACCACAAAAAAGCTGGTATGAATGTATTTTCTCTTAGTTGATTTTAGTTTGCTTTCACATAGTTGTCATGTACGTTTTTGTGTTCTTATAACATGTTGGAGATAGAATGCATGATGTTGAAATGCTTTGAACGGAATGTATATGAAATTGTGAATCATATCATACACTTATATCATTTGAAAGGATGTTTTTGTCCTGGATATTGATTGGTTGAACATTTTGGTCCTATTCCAGAAGTGGTATTGTTTTGAACCCTGCCAATAGTTTGATTTGGTTGCAAGAGAAGAGAATAATCATGCACCATGTTCTCCAGTTATGGTTCATAATTGGTTCGCTTATACTTTAGCCAAAATGATTAGGAAAGTTATTGAGTTAAAAAAAAAAAAACAATTTCTTAGATTGATAATCTCTTGTTGAATTCTGTTCAGTTTAACACATGACGTGAGAAGAGGAACTCGACTTGAATCTTAGTATTCTAAAATTGATTTCATCGTGTACAGATTCAATTCCATTTCAGTTTTGCCTTATGAACAATCTGCTTTTGTATATATATCATAACTCGTCTTCATGTCCACTTTCTGCAGTTGCCGAATTTTGTGGCAATATGGATTTATGCAGGCATACTGAGCAGGTTGTTTTTTCTGACCCTTACAAAGTATCTCAATATAACCGATGGACTTCTCCTTATCTTGATTCGGATGCTGAGGCTGTGCGGGGGGATAACGTTTTGAAGCTTGAAGTTGCTGAGTTGAAATCCTTGTAATGAGACTATCAAATCTTTGTAGCAGTATGACTCTCTATATCATGTTTTCATTTTAATTGTCATTTGAACGATCAAATTGCCTCTTCTGTAGGTTCTCTGAGAGAGCCCAAGCCCTAGTACATGGAGATCTTCACACTGGTTCTGTAATGGTGACTCATGATTCAACTCAAGTTATAGATCCAGAGTTTGCATTTTATGGACCAATGGGTTTTGATATTGGCGCTTTTCTGGGCAACTTGATTTTGGCTTTCTATGCACAAGATGGGCATGCTAATGACCAGAATGATCGAAAAGTATGTCCTGGTCCATTTCATCTTAAATCATTATCTTTAACTTGTTGCTTTCTACTATTCTTTTCTTCTTGATGAATTCTTTTCAAGTTTTTCAGCTCTTGTGACGTTATTTGTTTTTCATTGTTATTTGTCTTTTGCATATAATTTGTTATGTTGTATTTCCATGTGATTATTCTAAATTGTTGTTAAGTCATTTAGTTCTGTACATGTATATTGTTATTGTTCCCCTGTGTCACCTATCAAGACCTTGCTAATCATCTTAACTATCATGTTAAATTGATCTTCCAGATTTCTCAAATAATTTCATCAACCTTCATGTTTGTGATATGTTTTTTCGTTTTTGAAATGTAACCCGGTGGAGATTGGAAATGTTGTATTTTGATAACCATCCACTGGATAGTTGTGGACTGGAAATGTTGGCAACATCTGCTAGATGTTTCAGTGTAAGAAGCCGGCTCTGTTTCTTTAGTGAAATCGGTGGTCGCCTTGTGAGTGTTCAAGTTGAAGAACAGATTAAAAATTAGGGAAGGCCACCTCTTCGGTCAGTACTGGTAAAGTTAAAAGCTTGATTCTCTTAAGACATTTTTAGAAACTTCTTAGATTATGAGGAAAAGGTAAAAATCAGAGAAGAATGTGATCTCAATTCAGTTATCAAAATATAAGCTTTTGTAAGATCGAGATTTGAATAGAAGGAATAGATGCAGAGTTTGTCCTTCACATTCGATGGTGGATTCGAGATTTGCTTTAGTTTCAGTAGTAGAAAAAGCATAACACGTGGTGTTTTTTTTAAAATACATTTTGAGTATTTGGAATTCTGGATGCAGTTTTGGTTGCCAGATAGTTTAGATTTAGTTATTGTTACTATTGGTATTTAAAAATGGTTTCCTACCGATGCATGTGCCTGGCTTATGATGATCCAACAACAGGGGTGTTTGTGCAACTAAAAGTAAACTTCATGTAGTTTCAGTATAATTTCTGACTGTATAAGGCCTGTTCTATAACATGTTAAACCTGAGAGTTATGGCGTAATAGTTACAAGGGCGGAGCTAGGAAAGTTTATATGGGTGGGCTATTTTTCTTTTTGTGTTCGAGGTAGGCTAATTTTATCAAAGAAGGCTGTGCTAATTTCAAAATTAGATAACTTTGGCTTATCAAACTACATGCTGTTTTCTAAAATTCCAAAATTTACCCTAGGCTATAGCCCAACCTAGCCATACTCTACCTCCGCCCTTGATTGGTTCATAGTTCGACTTGCTATTATTAGTGTTTAGTTATGGTGTGGTGTCATGGTCTTTTATGGAATTTGCTTTATGATGCAGGCATACAAGGCTTGGATTTTGAGGACAATTGAAAACACTTGGAACCTTTTCGACAGGAAATTCCTTGCACTATGGGATGCGAACAAAGATTCTGGCGACGCATATCTACCTGCAATTTATAACAACCCTGAGCTTGTACAGTCTGTACAAAAGAAATTTATTAAAGATCTGCTTCATGAGACTCTTGGATTTGGTGCTGCGAAAATGATAAGGTGAGAAAACAGACTGCATATTTCTTTAGTTCTCGTATTTGATGTTTTTGCACAAAAGAAATTTATTGAAAACTAATAATGAGATCTATTCAGTATCATGATCATGCATCTTTCATTTATTTTCATTCCTAACTGGAATCCTCTTCTCCGATTCGTTGCAATAACCCATATGCACAGACTGCTTTCTTATTTGTAGTTTTGTGCCATTCTTAAGTGGTCTCTTAACTTCTTACCCGTAGCTTCTATGAGATTTTTATTTTAACAACTCGGTAGTTCTTTTAAAACCAAGAGGGAAGAGCTTCTAGACCAGAATTAAAATAAATATTTCACGGTGAAGGATGGCCTACTAGAACAAACACCACAAACACACAGAGAGCGCTTCAAGAAACTGTTGAATTAATTTCGATAATAATGCTTTTATTTTTGTTGTTAACAGGCGAATCCTTGGAGTTGCACATGTTGAAGATTTTGAGTCAATAGCTGATGCCAGCAAGCGGGCAGGTTGTGAGCGTCGAGCTCTTGAGTTAGCAAAGCTCCTTCTCAAGGAGAGGAAAAAATTTCATTACATTAACGAAGTTATTTCAGCCATTCAACAACACCAGTAAAAGTAACGACTTCTGAGACGGTTCTACGAAAAATTAGCAACATGCTTGAAAATTTGAAATAGTGATTTTTGGGAAGAAATATACAAATGTTTGGTGTGGCTGCTTGTAATTTGACTTCGTCTGGCCATGAACATGTTAAATAAAAACATGGCCTTTGTTATAAAAGGTTTAAAGTTTGAGAGATAACGTTTTAAGTGGTAGGTGCAAGGTAAATGTAAAATGCCACACAAAAACTATAGCACAGGCAGATAATAAAAGGTAGAGGAATAGATGATGTTACTGATATTTCTCTCTTGTTTTTCTTCTTCATCTATTTTCTGTTACATGCGGAGTGCTCTATTTATAGAGCAACTCCGAACTGATGCAGTTAATGCATCTTGAAATTTAAAATGCATCCTCTGACACTTTCATTCAGCATGGGCATTGAAAATTTTGCCCATGCAGAAGACTTCTGCTTTGTGGGCATTCATTGCCAACTGACATTGAGACTTTTCAACACTCCCCCTTGGATGCCCACATATCAACATGAGTTGCCTCGTTAAAACCTTGCTTGGAAAAACCCAGGGGGAAAAAAAACCATAGCGAAGGAAAAAAACCATAGCTAACCTTTCCAACATTTGATCTAGGAACGGCAATGGGAAGTGGTCCTTCCTCGTGGTGGCGTTTATTTTCCTATAATCCGTGCATACGCGCCAATCGGTTTGGATTCGGGTGGGCACTAGCTCATTCTCTGCGTTCTCCACAACCGTCACTCCAGATTTCTTCGGCACGCATTGGATAGGCGAAACCCACTTACTATCCGAGATAGGATAGATAACTCCACAATCTAAAAGCTTGATTATCTCCTTCTTCACAACTTCCATCATAGGAGGGTTAAGACGGCGTTGAGCCTCTTTAGTTGGTTTGGCCCCCTCCTCAAGAAATATGTGATGCATGCATGTAGCGGGACTAATACCTTTGATATCGGCCAACGTCCAACCTAGGGCAGATTTGAACTCCTTCAAAACACGCACTAGTTTCTCCTCTTCATGTGCCGTGAGTGATGAAGAAATGATGGCCGGTAATGTCTCCTCTTCCCCCAAGAAAATGTACTTCAAGTGGCCCGGTAATGGTTTGAGATCAAGGGTAGGTGCCTGAACTATGGATGGTAACAACTTGTTAGTCGAAATGGGAATCGACTCAAATTTAGAAAACTTACCCTCGTGCCTAGGAAGTGACTCTAGGGCAGCAACCAACTCCATACATTCCTCACTAGGGTGCACGGCATGGGTTGCAAAGTGTGTGCCGTGGCCTAGCAAAAGTTCTCCTCCCTTGGTTTTGAGCTCCATGCTTCTTGTAATGACGTTTTCAAGCGCATCAGCATTCAAATCTTCCATGTATCCCTGCGCCAAAGAGTCAATTACATCAATGGAGAAACATGAGTGATCCTCACTAGGATACTTAATAGAATCCGAAAGACTAAAATTAACAACTTCCCCATCAAATTCCATGGACAACGTTCCATTAAACACGTCAATCTTTGTCCGCGTCGTCTTCATGAATGGCCGGCCAAGTAGGATTGGCAACGAAGGGGCATGGTCAGATTCATCCATCTCGAGCACATAGAAGTCCGCCGGAAAGATTAAACCTTTTACCTGCACTAACACATCTTCCAAAACTCCCTTTGGATAAGCGTTAGATCTATCGGCCAATTGTATTATTACACCATCATTTTTCAATGCTCCTAAGTTCATAGATGCATAAATTGAATATGGCATAACATTTATAGAAGCACCTAAGTCTAGCATGGCAGATTCAAAACGAGTATTACCTATCACACAAGGAATGGTAAAACTACCTGGATCTTTACATTTGGGGGGTAGTTTGCGTTGCAAGATGGCAGATACATTTTCACCTACCTTTACCACTTCCTTGGTCGACATCCTCTTCCTTGTGGTGCAAAGCTCCTTTAAGAACTTGGCGTACCTCGGAACTTGCTTTATTGCATCCAAAAGGGGTATGTTTACTTGCACTTTCCGAAACGTCTCAAGGATGTCCTTTTCGGCTTCTTTTTTCTTCGTTTGCCTGAACCTACTAGGAAAAGGAACATTTGAAAGGAAAACATTAGTAGGAACTGAATTTAACACATTTTTACCTTTATTGGCCGAATTGGGCAGATTTGGGACCATAGGGACTTGCGGCAAAGGTGGAATCACCTTTGCCATGGGCAACCTTGTTTCTTCCTCTTCCATTTGCAAAATTTCATCCTCGTTATGACCTGTTTTTGATGTAGGACCTTCCCCAACTTCCTTCCCACTTCTTAGGGTGATTGCTTTGGTTGATTCGAAACCTCCCTTCGGATTTGGAATGGTGGAACTAGGGAGTTGTCCGGGATCTCGAAACTTACCTACAAACTCGGCAATCTGCCCAATTTGTTTCTCAAGTTGATCCACCCTCTTATCTTGGTTTTGCATAGCCTTCGCTTGATCTTCCTGCCCATTAGACAATTTAGTTAGTATCTTAAGAAGTGCATCATTGTCAAGAGACGTACCTGAGGCACTTGGGCCGGATTGGGCTTGATTTTGGGGTGGGCCGTTGGGTTTGGGAAAGAACCCCGGGGGTTGTTGCCTAAAGCCTCCTTGGTTTTGAGGTTGCTGGGAATCCCTCCATTTGAAATTTGGGTGGTCTCGCCACCCCGGATTATACGTGTTGGAGTATGGATCATGTCTTGACTGATTTTGGCTTTGAAACCCAATGGCATTCGCACTCTCCCATCTGCCATTCTCGATGAGTTGAGGACACTTTTCGGAGGCATGTCCTTGGATAGAACATACGCCACAAACCACAGGTCCTTGCATCTTCATTCCCTCGACCATCTGTGAAACAATAGAAGTAAGATTAGCCAATTGTGAATGAAGATCGGACGTTGAACTTACCTCATGTACTTGGTGCCATGGAGGTCCCCTTTGGCCTACTCCCTCATACTGTTGAGCGTTCAATGCTCGGTTAGCGATCAAGACCTTGGCATCCCTGGGCGTTTTGTCCACCAATGCTCCACCCGCCGATGCGTCAAGCATTTGACGTTCTAGAGGTAGGAGACCCTCGTAGAAATATTGCAAGAGCAACTCCTCCTTCATCTGATGCTGTGGACAAGAAGCAACAAGTGATTTAAATCGTTCATAATACGTAGGAAAAGACTCACCTTCTTCTTGCTAGATTCCGCTTATCTTTTTGCGTAGGAGGATGATGCGAGAAGTTGGAAAGAACTTCTCCAAGTACGCTCTCTTCATACTCTCCCAAGAAGTGACAGTGCCGGGAGCTAACTCATATAACCAATCTTTGGCTTTATCCATCAAAGAGAATGGAAAAGCCTTCATCTTCAAGATATTTCCATCAACAGTGACGGGAGTCATACTAGAGCAAACTACTTCAAATTCTTTCAAATGTTTGTTAGGATCTTCCATGGACAAGCCATGGTATTTAGGAATATGATGAAGCAAACTTGACTTTAATTCAAACTCATCCGTTTTACCTTGGGCAGCCGTGGGGTATTGAATGCACAAGGGTGCGGCATTATCCAAACCTGAGGCGGAAAGCTCCTTGAGTGTACGGTTGTCCACCGCCATGCCTTGGACTTCTTCATATACTCTTGCCGTGGGTTCCTCAAAGATCTCTGCCGTGGCCTCTTCTTCCTCTTCTAGAACTTGTTCTTCAAGCTTAGGTTCCGGGCTTGGCGGATTTGATTCGTGATGCTTCTTCGTCCGTCTCAAAGTCCTCTCAAAATCGCTGTCAAAGTTTGAGATACGCTCACGAATCGGTTGAGAACTCCGAGTCATGCACTAGTACCTAAAACAAGAAAAACAAAACAAGGTCAGATTCTTTAACAAAATAACTAAACAAACAGAAAGTAAACAATCCAAGGGATTAGCAAAGTTGCTAATCCCCGGCAACGGCGCCAAAAATTTGATGCGAACTAAGTAAGCACACAAATTAAAACCCTCTTGTGACAATTGTAGTATATGAATAAGTAGGGATCGTTCTTAACCGGGGATTAGGAGGGATTGCAAAATCACTTGGAAACTGACTCAAAAACGTAAAATAAAGTTTTAAACACTAAACTAGACTCAAAGAATGCAAAACTAAACAATAAAAACACTAAAACAAATCAAAAGACTCAAAACAGCCCCAAAACACTCAAAACTGCCTTAAAATCACTTTCTGGGCAGTTTTGAGCACTTTGACAACTTTGGACGAAATTGGGTAATAGAATGAATCAAAATGCTTAAAAACACAAACTAAGACACTTTCTAACTAAATTGGACACTAAAGTAAAGGGGGATTGAGTTTTTTGACGAAAATAAATTAAATGCACAGATTGTAAATTAAGGCAGATTCTAAAGATGAATTGAATGAAATTATGGATGAATGCTAGCTACAAGGTTCTTCTCCACACATGTCACACTTGCATACACTTTGATTTTCAGTTGGTCTTTCGATAAATTATGAAACTCAACACTCCGAGTTAATTAGGTCCGCTTAAATTAACCGTCAAGTTCTCCTTAAGTTAATGAATTGGATGGGTTAGCGCAACGCAATTCAAAACATTCTTCAAAAGTCCTTTACATGAAAAGCACAATAAAGATACAATTAAAGATCAGTAAGCATCATGAAAACTATAAGTGTTGACGAGGCATTCGTTACTATGATGAGCATGAAACTAGTGCCAAGAATTCATTTAACGCGATTGTTTATAAGCAACCTCCACTACTTGTGAATATAAGTTCATAACTATTAGGTGAAACTCACTTATATTCTAGCGTCATATTCATGCATGAAAATTAAGCGTGCACTCTCAATCAACATACATAAATAAGTTATCGATCAAGCAGTTAAACAAATTGAAATCACCATTCCTGAAATTCCAACCAAAAGTAATCAATTCATATTGCAAGCATAAACATGGTTTCGAATCACCCCCTAGCTAAATAGGGATTTAGCCTCTCATGTTCACAGAAAGAAAAATAAAATTGAATTTAAACATAACGAACAAAGGATGGATTACACCTAAAACGCACAACGAATCCACTTGAATTTCTGCGCGTCTAAGCTCCTCCTTCTCCCTTCCTTGCTGCGGCAGAGAGGTTTATGGTGTGTTTTGGATTTTTTCTGGTTTGGGAATGGGTTTAGGGTGGTAAAGGTGTGCGGCAAGATTGGTGGAAGGTGGAGGAAGGCTGCGGCAATGGTTTTGGGTGTTGGTGGATGCACGGCTGATGGGAGAATGGGTGTTGGTGGCTGCGTGAAGATGG